CACATCTCATGATCCAGAGGTCCAGGTGTTTGCTGCTTTTCTGTGTCTGAAATGCCCTTCCTATCTTCTTGCCTTCTCTTCTATGCATTAGTTACTTAACATATTGTGACCAAATACCTGACTGTACCACAGAGGCAACATATAGGAAGAGTCATTGTAGCTAAGGGAGGCATGATGAAGTTCATGAAGGCTGGAGCAAGTGGCTGGGACTCTCCTCATGTGTCATATCTCATGGAAAAAAAAGGGAGATGCCTTTTGCACTTTTTATTCAGTCTGGGGCCCTGAGTCATGGTCTAGTGTTATTCATACTCAGTAAGGATCCCAGCTCTTTATTTAATCCTGTCCATAGGAGTGCCTCATCATTGTCTTGGGTGGTCTTGGCAATCAGCATTAACCATCACATTCAGTTTCTTTCCTTAAGACTAAGCGCACCCCCCTTGTGTGCCATTATGACTTGAACAGCCCTCTTGTACTGTCTCACAGTCCATGAGTTTCCTTCCTTTTCCACTTCATGGAGCGCTAAAATTGTTTTCAGAGAAAGACTCTAGTCTTCCATTGGAAAAGGGATACACTCATACTCTCATTGTGTTTCTGCAGAGTCTAATAAAGCTCAATACTCATGGTGCCATATAAATGTTGAGTTACTGATCAGAGTAAAAATTAATAGAAGTCAATCCATTTGCAAAATTCTCCTAGAGCATTTGGCAACTTTAGGAAAAAAAAAAAAAAACAGCTAGTGGGAATATGAGGGGAAAGTCATAAAATTACACATACCTTCACTTGGAGTGGGTTTTTGAAGTACAAAATGAAAGTTTATATATTTTATATGATTTAAAAATACTTCAAAACAAGAACTTGATGCCAGAAATATCCTAGGAAATGAGGGCAGCTTGCCAACGGCACTCTGCCTCAACCTGTTACATATATACCCTGAAAGAGCATCCAGGGCCTTCATATATTTCCCATCAGATAAAATGCATAAGACAGAGGACAGGGTGTCAGCCAAAGTCAGAGCGAACCTGCACAGATCCTTTCCTGTAGCAGAGCTGAGGAATGATAGCCTTACATGTGAGGTAGAAGTCATTTTGTCAGTCTGCCCACTCCATACACCATCAGTTCTTCCCTTAGGAACAAAGGGCATTTAAGCGTGGATTTGGTGAGGAAAAATCTGAATATTTCACAAGAGCATGTTTGAGTGTTTTATCTTAGAAGCTGTATAATGTATTTGTTTTAATTAAAAAACAGTCCGAGTCAGCTGTGATGGGACTGTATAAATATTTAAATAGAGAGTAGCAAGCAAATGGTACCCAAAGTCTGCCTGTGGTCTTGTTTTGTTTTTTGACCTGTTCTGTAGCAGTGGGCCTCTCTAGGAATGACAGACTTAGACAGACCTCTAACCCCACAAGCACTGACAAAGAAACTGGCATTTGCCAAGTTTCGTGGCCCGTAGTGTGAATCTTTTTAACCTCACAGTAAGTTGTGGGTAAGAGTAATGGGCCCCCAACATTTCTCAAGAAAACAACTTCAGCCTGTAGCCAACTCCTGTGGCTCCGAGCTGACGCCGTTTTTCCCTTTCAAAGAGAAGCTGCTGCTTCAGCATCATCTCCTGGAGCCCTTGGCAAGATTTCAGGCCATGTGTCAGGGGAACCCTTGCGCACATTACTATGACGGAAGCCAAGTGCTGTCCCACAAGTATTGAGTATTACTTAAACTCCAGAGAGTTAAAGCAGACGCATGGGTATTGCACAGCTCAGAGGTGCCTTGAAGAACACCAACGCGCATGTCATTCTTCAGCCGCCCGTGACACAGCCCTTTCCCGGTCCATATGGAGTTTAGCCAACAGTGTTTGGTGGAATGTTTTCTTTCGTTAACTCCCCAGGTTAAGCAAGATTTGAACAGTTAAATAGAGTTTTCATATATTTTTTAAGGAGGGACACAGCATATATGACTCCCTAGGGGGCGTTTTATTAATGAATGCAGTGTGTGTTTTTGGGAAAGGCCAACATTAAACTGGCTCACTGTTTTTGTCCAGCTAGCTGCAGATGACATTTAGGTGTGTTTGGTGTGGTGACTCAATTTCCTGTATGATAGCTGGCAACTCCACTTCGAACCCCCCTCGACCCCTAGGGTGTTAAGGTTAGTTACTTGATGTCTTAGCACAGTTGGGGTTAAATTTCCTGAAAGCCAAGACTTAACAGTGACCCTGGAAAACCGGAGCTGGTCATGTTGCCTCAGTCTGAAGGAAGGAATTCTAAGCTCAACAGGTTACCCCAGCAATGGCTTTATAAAATAAATGTGTTTATTCTATTGTATATAAATTGAATGTAAATATTCTCTCACCAATATGTACAAATTTAGGGGTAATTTCCTCCTCTAAATATATATATAGCACGTGGAAGATTTTGGAACTTATGTATGTGATCTTGCTTGATTTCTTAAAGTCAAAATGGCTAAGCCATGATTTGAATATGAAATGGGTCTTCTGAAATCAATTACCATTCCCTCTCAGGCAAACCCTGCATCTAAGTGTGTGATGTCTTACAGCATTAACTTGAGACTTTCCCAAATTACTGTTCCACATTAAAAAATCAATACTGAAATATAATACACAGAGCCATATCCTGCTAGGTCCAAGGTCTAAATTCTACTTCTGGTTTCAGAAAACTTTGATGAAAATAGGAAAAGTGGGGCCAGGGAGTACATGCCACATACTGGGAGATTCCTTGTAACTCAGGCTTTCAGAGAATTGGGTGGCAGGAAGCAGGAACATAGAACATCAGGCTTTAGAGATATGTAGAGGGTGCCTGGTTTTGGATAACTGGAAGGATGGCAGCGATGGATTCCATACAATAGTTATGCCCTCTGACTGAACTGGATATATAAACTAAGGACAACTCATGGCTACCAATTATTTTCCTCCTACAATTTTCTGTGCTCCTATTTTACATAGTAGAGGAAGGAAAATAGTAACAGTGAAACTGTACAGTAAATGGACTTCCCTAGTGTCCAGACAATGTTCTACTTATATATGGAATGGATTCAGTATATTTAAATGTTGAGTTATTGGCTCAGATATTTAGGTTATGGGACAGCAAAGGACTTTCTATGTTTTGTATCCTTTTTATACCAGGCATGTAATATTTCACAGTTTTACAATCAGGGGAACACTAAACTGATAAAATATTTAATGGTTACCTTGTAAATTATCTTTAAAATTGTTTCCTTTGTAAAGGAAAAAAGTACCAGCCTTAAATTTCAATTCACCTGGCAAGGTTTAGGCAGTTGTTGACCTAAGATTCATTTACAGAGATTCGAGTGCACACACCCACATACACACACACAGAGGCACATTTTAATTCATAGCACATAAAATGACAAGCATAAAGTCTTGGGTAAGGAAAAACCAAGTAGCAAGCCTACCACACTCTGGAAGATGATTGAAACATAAATTTAAGGAAATCCCAGAATCCTGAGATTCAGTCCATGAATTCTTGGCTGTCTCAGATAATTAGAGGAGTCTACACCCGGACAAATATCTTTACCCCACAGTACTGTCTATTGGAAGATGAAGAGGAGGACCCTCTCCTTTCTGCTGACAGTCTTGTAGGATAGACCCTTGGGGTTTCAACTTTCCTCTTTCTGAAATAATATTGCTGGTCAGTTTTGGAACTGTTCAGTTTAGGAAAAGTGCCCAAGGTCCTTCGGTCAACTTTTATCAACAGAACCCATTGCCCCACAGTGCTGCTGATGCTTATTTTGTCTATGATGGGTCGAAACAGACTTCCAGACTTTCTATCTTGTACCCAAATCCAGGTGTTCTTGTGCATTCTGCAGAGACACCAAGGCAAGACATATGTAAATCTTACCCTGTGGTTAGTTCACATTGCTGTTCCTTTAAGGTATCTCTTAGGTGATTCTGAACGTGAAAGTAGCCTGTTGTCAAGTTCAGAGGCACTCTGACCCCACAACACTATGGTTTGTCTGTTTACATCCACACTAAATGTTAAGGGGCTGAATGGGTATTGGCAATCTGCCATTAACAGAAACTTATTTTATTCCCATAATCCTGTCCCTTGTAGTGAGTAAATCCTAAATCCGGGGAAACTCCCAAACCTCAACCTGCAGGAAGGGTAGTGTCTGTCCTAAGTCACCTTGCTTTTGCCCAGGACGCCCAGGCCTGGCAGGCTGCACTGGGACAGAGGGCCCAGGGACTCCGCTTTGCGCCTGGGGTCCCCGCAAGGCAGGTGCGCGCTCAGTTGGT